GGTAAGCAGCTGGTTTATGTACAGTTTTCTCTTGAGTAACAGATTTCCAGGTATCAGCTGTCTCTAGTTATGTACCATACTCTGATGCTCTGCTAAGCAAAACCTGTGCAGTCAAAGCAGTTGAAGCCCATCTGAAACCATAAATAAAGAGGCTCGCATCAAGAGCAATACTTGAGTAAAGTTTTGAAATCCACTTTTATGAGCAGGTCAGCTCAGTCTTAAAATCTCCAAATGACTTGAGCAATAGCAAAAGCAAGCACTTGTTCTGCATTTAAATGGTATTTCTATTCCTTTAAGCCTGTGATGACATCAGTAGGGACATGGATGCTCAGCAGTCTACTTCAGCCTGTATTCCACCAAGTCACTCAGTGAACATCAGCTGTAATGCTTTAGAAATTCAAATGCAGGGCGGTCAAACTCTGCTCTCCAGAATTCCTACGCTGCGTTCAGTGAGAACAACATAGTTGAATCCGTACTTTATCTGCACTTGCTTTCATCTTGGTAGTAACCAGAGTTCTTAGCCAGGTACCCGCTCAGCAGCCCCTGTGTAAATGCTGGTGCCACCAGCGCTGCCCCTGTCCAGGGAAGGCGGCTCCTGCGTCCCTGCGCTCCCTTGGCCTCAGCTGCTGCTGGTACCAGGGGACTCTCACACCAGAACTGCTGACGTCCATCTGAGATTTCTTAACATTTTCTCCTTGTGGCAAGAAAAACTTATGTTAAAAACATGATTCCTTTGGGAAAAGTGGAGCTACCTCCATTCTGTACTGAATCGCTGCCCTGCTCTTTGGGACGCCGTTCCTGTACACATAAGCTAGGTACAAAGCAGTGGTCAGCAATGCTGGGTTTACAAATTCAGTCGGTTTTTCTAAAGTTCAACCCCACCTCCCTTTAGCAAGGCAAAGCATTCGCATGTTAACAACAAAGGTAACAGGAGCAAGGTCTAGAAAAACAACTTTAAACCCCATACGGTGTGAATGTTACACTGAGTGACTGTAAAACCACTTCTATCCTTGTGTGTGGAAATTCTCTGTAAGAAACGATTGAGGCGGGATTATTATGGAGATGACCCGCACGTTTGTAACTCTGCGAGGGCAGATCAGAGCTTTATTAACAAACAGGCAGCACAACACACAAGATAACAAAACCACACTGTTTAAGCAATCCATCTTGGTTAACGACAGCTTCCACTGAGTACAGCTCCGCTGTATTAGCAGAGGTAAGAGCCAATTCAGGCTTGTTTGTAACATTTTTCCACTCAGAGCCAGAAGTTTTTAAGATCTTATCAGTATTGCAAGCTCAGGGAAGACCACACTTTACTCCTAGGTGGAAGACCAGTGCAGACAAAGCATCACTGAGAGGAGCACCTAGGACGTGGGGCTGAGCCCTGCCTCAGTCGGGATGGATGCGACACCCACACTCCAGCTCTCACAGTTAAGAACCTCATTCAGATTAACATGGCCTGGAAAACTGACATGCTGCACAGCAAATGCCAGGTGGCTACAGAGGTAAACAGCTCAGATACATCTCCAGAAAGCTCCCTTGTGGTAAACTACCTTTTCAAGTCCTTATTTTATAGGAGGAAAACTAAGTCCCAAAGTCCCGTAAGAGCAGGTGAGACAAGCTGTAGTGTACCACGGGTGGCATTTCCTCACGAGAGCTGCAGGTCGATCCTGCCTTGAGCTCAGCATCCTGTCCCTGCCCCATTTCAGAGACCAGACTTTCTGAGGTCCCGTGAAAGAATGCGGCTTCAGGACTTTTAGAACCCAAATATATTAATAGAGGGGGTGGGTTTGGGTTTGTTCTACAACTTTAGGTTTCTTCAAAATGTGGGCTCAAGTACCCATGAGAAAGGCCCACCACCAAGCCCAACCATCTGCTTAGCCACATGTTACCTTTGTTTTCTTTCCTCACATTCGGCCATGGTTTACAGCCCAACATACAATACACGGTCACTGCATCAAAACCTGACAAGCGTAATTTAACAGAGACCGCAGAAAGCTTTACATCTCTACCACCTCTGTCTTAGGCAAACCGTATTGAATAAATGACCGCTGTGGTACACACGGCTCAGACACAAATAATCAAAATTTGACACATTAGCAGAGCTCTGTCTCCCAAACCCTGCAGCACACCCGGCACACCCGCTAGGACACGTACGGGGAACTCTGTGTCCTGCTGTCTGGTTACCTTCACTTTCTAGTTTAAATCTGAAACGTGATGAAATTACATTATTTATTGCGCATCCAGGCACTGGTGAGTTACCTACAGTGAACTTGCGTTGAAATGCTTTGGTAGTAACTAGAAAATGTGAGACAAAACCTTAGGAAAATATTGCAAGCAGTCTGTGTCCTGTTCAGAGGGAACTGATCACGGAGAAAACGCCCCGGTCTTTGCAGCACGCAGTTTCATGGTTTACTGGAACCTGGTTGTTCTGGAATGCACCCAAGACATTTGAGCGTTTTGCCTTTTTCACTCTTCTGAAATAATGCACAAGCAACACGGGCTTGAAATTTTACCCTGTAAACCCCTTTTGCTGCCTGCCCCGCAGCAGTTTCCAGACACCTCTGACAAATGGATTGGTGTTATTTTTATGAGGCTTTTCAAGTCAGAAAGCCGCACGCTTCTACCACAACCACAAGTGCATGGACTTCTGATTTACTCTGCCTTTCTGAACCACTTGCCTGCACACGAGAAAGAATCTTAGGATTTGGGGAAAACCGTAGCCTGCGATTTAGGCTTTATTTCAGAAAAATACTGCAGGCAAATGCAATGAAATTGAGGCCCACCACGGACTTTAACGCTCACATTAGTTCACCGTCTTAAGCATTTTCTTTACCTCTTGCATGGCTGCTCACTAGAAATTTTCCTGATATTTGCTTTAAGCAGAAACATTAGCTTGGCGATGAATTTTTATGGTCTTTTAAGCAATAATAAGGTCAGACACAAACACAAACCAGATTTGGAAATGAAGGTTTTCTAAAAAAACAGGAGCAGGAATCATTTACAGTGTACATTTATTGCAGAACTGATGTCACCTTAGGTTACAATTTCAGGCATAAACAGATCACTGTGTATAAACCCACATTTGGGAAAGCAAAAGCCTTGTCATCTGGGATCGGTGTTGCCATTCTGGGACACAAACACAAAAATACCTTGCTCGGCGACAGCTGGGTTTGTGCCGCAGTCCGGCGCAGCCGTGGCTGTGCTACTCGTCCCTCGTGCTGAACAGCAGCACTGTCTGCCTCACCTGACCGTTTCTGAAGGCTGCAGGGCCTGTCATGATTACATTTTTTTAAAAAAGCAATACAAATGCTGTAGTATCAGTGCTCTTGTCATAAATAATTTATTTCTAAACATTTAACATGGCGGACGCATTAAAAAACTGAGGGTTTTTTGGGTGGGTTTTGGTTGGTTGGTTTTGGTTTTTGAAGATGTGTAAACAATCAAAGAACAAGTTAAACATTTCTCACAGAGCTTTCAGGACCTGACCACAGTACAGCAATCAAAAAACAGATCCTAAAACCACAGGAAGAGCTGGAGTTTTACCCCCATTTCTAGAAACACAACTGCACCCATCTCTCGTACGCAACACTGCATCTTCAGCTCTTTAGTTTAACAAAAAATACATCTATTTTTGAAAAACTTTGACCTTCTTAACATACATTCTTAGGAGCTGACATCTGAAATACTTGTCCAGAGAGTATTCTCCCCAAGACCTCATTTTCATAGCTAAAAAAACAACACGTCCTACAACTCCATCCTAAACCCACGCGCAGTTGTTTAAAACACAGCAAAATGCAAGAGTGACCATCATCGCGATGTAACAAACCCGGTGAAACCTCACACTTGGTACTAGAGGCTTCTGCACCTCTTCTAATTTGTCTCTAAGAGACTACCTGAAAGACAGCCAAATGTAAATACATCACAACATCCTAGCTGTAGTACAAACACGGTGGCAGTGCTCTGTCATTCCAGCTGTACAGGATGTAGCTATCGTATCCTCACGGTGTAGTGGATGTGTCAATAATTATGTTAATGCAATGGCAAATTCTGTATCGTTGTCTATTAGAAGTGTAAACTACTGAAAACTTGGCCTTGCTGATATGAATAAAGTGATTAAAATACCTGTCTTTACAGATACAGTAGTTTGTCATCTTTTAAGATGAAGTTTATTTTTTTCACTTTAAAATTTGAAGGAAAAACTGTTTCGGAAACAGATACACCACCACAACATAAATGCATCTGGTTTAATGTTCCCTGGGTGGTTCCAGGCCTCTCGGGATGCACAAGGACACACACCCACGTGCGTTCATACCTGGGTTTTCATTACCCCAACGTATTAGAGGTGTCCGGTAACTGAAGTGCACATGGACTCTACTGCATCCACCCTCTGGCAGTCTGTGAACATTGTCAAATACGCCAAAGCAATTCCGGTTTCTTACATGCACAGATATACCCAGACAGACACACAAAGCGCAGCGCATTTTCAGAATTCCCCATGGGCTTCTGCAGATCCCACAAGATCCACAGGCTCGTAACACCCTCAGAAGGGTCACAGAGAGGGTACACTGAAAGGCAGAGCACAAATACTTGAGGGTGGCAAAGGATCACACAGCTGCAAAAACAATTTTAAAAACTCCAGGCAGGAATTTGGGAAGCATCTTCAAAGCTTGGCATGAGCATTATTCCTCAGTGACATTTCATACATCCCAGAGGATTCGTGTAGAAAGGCCATGGTTACAGCAGACCACGTGGAGAGATGTCAGAGGAAGGCAGGACAGCGTATCCCACAGTATCCTGCATGCACACATGGAAAAGTGCTCTGGGAATGCTTAATATTATTAGTTCGGAATACTTGAATGTCCCAGAGAAATGCTGCCCTGGCAGCACAGCCCTCCTCCAGCTGAGGTCACCTCTACAGCTACCTTTTTGGTTTGTCTTGCCCTGGACTTTAAATGGTCTTACACCAAATAGGTTTAAGTTGATACATTAATACAGAATCAAAGGCAAGTAACTGAAGAGTTTGACGACAAATCGTGCCAAAACTCAATTATCTCACTCGATGTAACACTATGTACTGCAATCAAGTGTCTATACTTACACATATCGAAATTAATTTTATTAATAAAGAATAGTTCTTTATCTTCTGGAATACTGATGTTCACTTTAAGTATGTCTAAGCAAATTCCAACATAAACATCCTCAAACTTAATAGGTTTGACATGACTCATCAGCTCATAAATCCTCTGAGCCAGTTTTCCATTCAATATGTAACCCATCCCACTGCAATATGGAGGGTACAACTTGAATGGATATTCATCGTAAGAGATGTATATTTTTTTGTAGAAGCCTCTGTAGGCAAAGCTGTCTGTGTAAGGATAACCGGTAAAAACGTGTTCTGAGGAATTCAGCCTCAGCAGAAATTTCACCAAGTTCGCGGTGTTGATGAAGACATCGTCGTCGGTCTTCATGAGGAATCGAGCATTCGAACAGAACTCGGCCACCCACCTGAACGCCATGATCGTTTTCAAGGTGAGATTGTCGTAAGTGTCCATAAAGTCTTGGCGAATTATGTCACCATAGAGGATGCTTTCGTCCTCTACCGACAGTGCCGCAGCATTGTCTTCTCTTGGAGTGTCCTGACCGAGCAAGAACAGAGTTAGAACTCGCTGGCCCCACCAGAAGTTCTGCGAGCCCCACGTCACCCTGATGGCCTGCCTGGACCGCACGTCCTTTGGACGGGAAGACACCACGATGACCAGAAACGGGTTTATGTCTTCGCATTTCAAGCGCTCCCGCAACGTGAAGAGGTAGTGCTGCTTGTAAATCGGCTCATATTCGTAGAAATACATAGAGTTTGCACGCTCAATCACAGCGTAGGAAGAAAAAGTTACATACCACATTGTTATGACAGAAAATATAAGAAGAAACAAAAAAATCCATTTTAATTTTCTCATATACATGACACTAACTGGAACTGGGCAGTAACTACTTTGCAGAAGTGCATCAGTGAACTTCAAAATCCGTACCACAAGTCCTGAAGCATGTCTTCTGCTGAAAGGGAAATTAAAAAGTAGTATTCAGAATGCTATTATTCAAATATTATCTTTATCTTGTCTGAAACGTCAGTTGAAAGCGTGCTAGAATATAACAAAAACAAAACCAAGACGCATTGGTGCAGCTGTTGTACACCACAGCCCAGCGCCCTGTGCACCACGAGTCACTGCTGCATCCCAGACACAAGCACGAGCAGAACACTGGGCTGCTACCGAGCACGGTACGGATGGAAACCCCACCGCTTCCACCTTGGAAATTTCCCCTACATAAACCTGATCTCTGCAAACGATCACACGCCAAGCACTGCGATCCCAGAGATCTCAGCAGAACGGCTTCGACTCAATTAAATCTCAAGGCAGGAACACCGTGCACAGAATCTAATGACTACAAAATGCCAGGCAAACTGATGTTCAAAGGCTTTAAAAATTTATAAGCTATTACAAAGAAAGGAAGTCCTACTACTTTTTATAATCTGGAGCAAATCAACCAAGAAAGCAGGTAAAAGTACAAACAAGTATTTCTGAATTGACTGTGTAGGTAACGGGGGGAGAAGGAGAAAATCGACTTCCCTGTCAGAGCTGCAGACGTGCAAACACAAACCTATCTTGACAGATAAAAGTTACACTGCCTGAAGACATGGCTACTCCCACCACACACAACATTATACAGCAGTCCTTTGTTTTCTAGTATGTGCTTATTAAATCAAGCGATTTAATAAAGGGCCATTGCAACCAACTTTGTCACAGCAGCTTCACAGGTGACACAATGGGAGCAGCGGGGAATCTGCTGCAGCAGACGAGCTTCAAATCTTCTTAAAGAAGTTTTGCAGACTCTCCAAATGTTTTCCACTTAAACAAACAAGGCACTGCAAAACCCTCCTGCTACTTCCAGCTATTGAAGTTACAAAGAAAGGATCCCATCTGCGTTATTTTCATGAAGTGTCTACAAAACCACGACAGGTTCACTCAGCTCCATCAGGACGCCACGCAAACCGAAAACAGCATCAGCACAAGAGATGGGGATGAACCAACGCCATCCTTGGGCTAGAGATACACAGCTCGGTCTGGAGTCCCATCTGCACAGGCAGGAACTGAGAAAGCCCCATGGAGTCCATGCTGAAGATATTACTGTGGTGACAGGACCAGATATTCAAATCATTACAGCTTTCCAAAACTAAATTTAAAAAACAATCTCAGGCCCGCACCCTCCACTTGGTAGTGCTTACCTTTATTTCTTCAAAACTACATATGCTGTGAACACATACTAGATATCTTTAAGCCAAAGTAATTACAGTGTCTTACTGTGGGGATTCCAATCCGTTTCTGATGTGTTCAGTAATAATATTTACCCTGCACTGTCAGGTATCCACAAAGACACGGTAGGGACAATGGAGGGTTTAATTTCACAGTGCAATTAACCACTCTTTATCTCTGAGATGATCGCCTCGGGGCATGTAGATTTTTTTACATGAATTTAAAAAGATAAATCCAAAAACCAACACAGCACACTAGGATTGAGGTGAATTTGATTTGCCAGAGCCCATCTGCCTTGTGTTCCTGTGTATGATTTGACTTTAAATTAATGGTCCTTTAAGGGAAGCATTTGGAGCCCATTTCACCGACGATGCGTAGCACATCACTTAGAATGTATTAAAGCAGCTTTATACAAATAGCTATTTAAGCAGAAGAATTTCAAACTGATCCCTTTCAAAGCTGCATTACTCCAAAAACATTGCGTGTCTAACGAGTCAAGCCTTCATTAAAGATACCTCACGGCACTGCAGATGAACAACTGAGTTTCATTAAGAACTTCCTGACGTGGCCGACGGGGCTTTCCTGGCTTAGAAAAACAGAACCTCAGAAGTTTCACATTGATTCACTTCTTTTTCTCCACAAAGATTAAACATACAATCCCATATAACAAGCAGTAGGATGAGAGGAAACGGCCTCAAGTTGCACCAGGGGAGGTTTAGATTGGGTATTTGCAAAAATCTCATCACTGAAAGGGCTGTCAAGCACTGGAAGGGGCTGCCCAGGGAAGTGCTGGAGTCACCATCCCTGAAGGGATTGAAAAGATGGGGAACTGAGGTGCTAAGAGACATGGTTTGGTAATGGACAGGTCATGGTTGGACTCAATGCTCTTAAAGGTCTTTTCCAACCAAATTATTCTGTAATTCTAACCAAACCTGAACAGAAGTTTGGCAAGTGCAGAGGAAAGGATCATCGGGACTGTTCAAACTGCATTTAGGGAAGGTGACTGCGAGAGCAAAGAACTCAGATGGTAGTCACTTCCCAGATTTATGGGTAGAAAAAATAATAATTGAAAGCTCAATTCTTCTCTTTTTATATATACTAACCTGACTTTTAGTGAACAATATGAAAAATAAACACTGGAAGAAAATAACCTAAGTTATAGATCAGTGCTTACTTGATTTTATAGAAATAACATTTCTCAGGGTTCGGTGAACAATTTAAAGTAAAATCATATAAAGTTTGATCAGTTCTTGACTACCTAATGAAGAAAGAAACAAAACCAAACCTGACTATAGGCATTTTGGTTCTGTATGGACAGAAAATCCTGATTACATGACATTTTGAACAACAGAATCAGAGACCAATGCCTGACCCACTACGTAATGAGAACTCTGGGAAAATAAATCAGTTCAGGTCCTTTAGCAACACTATGCAAAACACAACCTTAAATCGTACCCTCACGAAAAGCCGGCACCACAGGGCATCCAGGACAAGCACCGTAAAACACTGTTTTGTTGTGTGGCTCCCAAGAAGCGAGGAAGCTCAGTCCCCACAAACGCTGCTCTTCTCCTCCCTAAGGCCAGCACTTCTTGCCTTCCCGTCGTGGCGCGGCAGCACAGGACCTGGATCAGAAGCGATACCGGCTCAAGGACCACTCCTTTCAGGGAAACGTTTTCATTTTCTTCCCAGCTCACAGCTGGCTGGCACAACACAATACGATTACGCTGACAGATGAAAATTATCAACTTTGAAACAAATTTAAGGAAACCCACAGAGAACATGCTCTGCAGTAATTTTAGACACCTTTCTCACACTCTGCTATACTTAGGTAGTTATTGAGTTATTGAGCATTCTTGACAGGAAAAAGGTGGCAAATTCTCATCTTTATTAAAAGTCTTAACACCTACAATAACAACTGTATAGTCCACTTTAAAGATTAAAAAATAGCATCTTCGTAATGCTAGATGTATAGAAAAATTAATCCTTTTTTTAAGCTACTAGCAGAAGTCATTTGGAAATATATTACTGTTCCTGGCTTCTCTTCTTCCCATGGCTTACTACCAGTGAGAGGTATTTTGCAAGATCCTGGCCTATGATGATCTAGTATAGCAATGTTTTAAAAATTATTTTAAAACACCTTTAACAACCACTTGCTCTCACTTCAAATTGCCCAATCTTAATTTTTCACTCTAGGCAACTTTTCACTACACACAGATTAATTAAGAGGTAGCAGCCCAAAAGGTACAATTCATGAAGAGGAAATCCACCACCCCCTGCTGAAACCATACAAAAACTGGAAGCCATTTAACAGTTTTCTACTGAAAATATAACAGAAAAGTGGCTGACAGGAGAGCATTCTGTATCCCCACAAGAGGCATTCCCCCGCAGTTTCCACAGCTCTCCCCCACCCCCAGCAGACCGGTAACGCGGATCGCCCGGGGCCGGTAAAGCCGTTCTCTC